TGTGGAAGTTGTTAAACAACATTCTAAATGTCAGGTGTCAACCCTCACGCTAAACTTTCCCTGCTCAGAGCATCACATGGAGATGTCATTGGTTTTATAGTGGCTTACAGATGTGTGTGGTCTGTAGAAGGGAGTTGGAAAGTTGCTATAAACTGTTAACAACTGTTTAATTATGTCCTGCCCATGGTTGTTTATGAAAAGTATCTTTAATAAAGCTGGATACAGTTTGGCTTGGAAAAAAAAAACAAAAAAAACAAAACAATCTCAGACAAATGTTTTCTGTCTCGTCTTGCAGAGAAAACCACAAACAATGTATTGCTTTGGTCCTTAGAGACTTGATAACTATGCTGTTATTTTCTTAAGATCTTTTTTCCATTATTTACGAATGCACCTTGCTGATGGCTATGCACCTGTCAACCAAATCACAGTGTTAGTTCTCTTGAGAGAAAATCTCTGCCTGTGCTCTGTTGCTACAACTAGAGGCCCTCCTGCTGGGATTCAGAATCATTTGGGTGAGGAAACCAAAGGAAGTGTAACTCTGCACTCATAAATCTTGTATCTTATGGGCCAGATGCAAGTTGATTTTACATTTACTCTCTTTTCCCGGCATGTTTTAATTCTATCTAAGGTCAAAGACGGTGCGGCTCCAAGGGATATAGTTTCCAAAGTTGGTATGTCTTGAAGATGTCAGGGTTTTTTCTGATCACCAAATCCATTATAATGGTAACGAGGCAGCCACTCTACAATAATTCTGCAAGATGAAAGGTGCCCTCTCCCCACTGCCCAGTTTATTTTATTTTTGGTGGCTGGCCAGTATGGGGATCCCTGGTGTTGTAACGCCGTGCTCTAACCAACTGGGAAACCGGCCAGCTCTCCTCCCCGTTTTTAGCATAATAAGTGTTTAGGACAGCCTTGAGGGACTGACTTCCCTCTAGGAAGTCTCCACTGCTCTGTCAGATCATTTGAAGCTCTCGGAGTCAGCCTCAGAGAGAGGCAGACTTCAGGGATGGGAAAAGGACCTCAGACCTCCAGGGGAGGCAGACAAGAGAGGGCCTCCAGGAGGGCCTGAGACCGAGGCCCTCCAGGGGATACAGAGGCTGGGGGAGTTTGGACAGTGGGTTTGAACAGAGACCCTCCTAACTTCCTTGGGATTCACCAGCTCTAGAAGCACCTTGAGCAATCCAGGGCTCTCCAAGCCTTTGCTACTTACGAATGTACAGTGGGGTGCTTCCTAAAGGACAAACTCTGGGACATACCTGGAAGGTATCTTGGGGTATGGGGCCCAGGTCTGGGGTTGCCAGCAGAATGGGCACAGTGTATGAAGTAAAGGCTTAGCTGTCCTGCTGACAGCTCTGGGAGGAGCGGCAATCACATCTTCCTAGTCTGCAGACAAAATTATTTCTAAGTTGGCAATTTAGAGATCTACTAAGTATCAGAGTACCAAGTCAGGGGGCAAGCGCACAGGGTTTAGTAAACACACCATGTACACATGCAAGGGCCTCACAATTTGCTTGAAGTAGTTACTTTAAGGACTTTTTTTCCTTTCTGAGGGTGGCGGCGGCCCCGATTTCACATACCTGGTCTGTGGGCGTGTAGTCAACCAAACTGACACTGTCGATTCTCTCCAGGAAACTGCAAAGAAAGCCAGCACAAGTTCAGATGAGTTCTCTGACGACTTTCTCCTGGGGCTGGGGAATAACTTAATGGGACATTCGCACAAGTGCAGTGAGGCCTGGGGGCCGGTCGAGAAGCTGAGGTCAGTTCCCACTTTCTCCCCTGAACAGAGAATACAGCATTCCTGCCTGAGGGGCAAAGGGTGCACTCATTTTTTTTTTTAAACCTCTGCCTTCCCTCTTCCTCACTGCTATAGGTAGGGGGTTATGCAGAAATTGGGAAGGGGCAAGGGGCCTCCATTCCAAGGCTAAGCTAGTAGAAGACGGTGTTGCAGCGTAAATAAAAAATGGGAGGAGACACACGTTCCTTTACAGTAATAAGTTCCT